AACTTCATTATTTTTCAAAATTTTCGTCTTTGGTTATCTATAAAATGGTTTATCTTTTGTTACGGCTAATAAAAATCACTCTTCTAAAATAGACTTCAAATGAACAGATGAAGAAAATTGTTTTTCTAAAATAACTTTTCCATCAAACTTCTATGATTTCATCTTTCGCTCATTCAATGAAAGTGTCTTTCGATATTTCTCTTTTCGATTTAATAGATAATGCAAAATCATCTGAAAATGTACGATTTGATGAGTTTATATATGGATTATTTGGTGGACAATGCTTCTTGTTAATGAAAAGAAGGAAAGAGTGTGGGTCGGTGGGTGGGTGTGAGGGTGTGAGGGTGGGTAGGGTGTTCGTCACTGACGGGATGATTTACTATCCACACTCACACCCCATCCTTCAATTAACTGTTCATTGCGAAGTTTTCTCATATAAGAAACCTCAGTCCTGTTGGTTCGTTGTTTCTATATGAAAAAAAGAATTTCGACATCTAACTTCAATATTTGGGTTTATGGGCTCATCGGTGTAAATTTTCGTGTTATAGTGAAATGCAGTACAAAGAAAGAGAAAAGACATATAGAGAAAGAAAATAGTGAAAGCAACGAACACGTGCAATGGCGAGTGTATCTTGAAGAAACAAACTGTCTAATCGATGAAAATGTCATGCTTCAGTGATGCAAATAAATGGAAACAGGTTGGAAGAAACCAAGCAATTTCATCATCGACAAATACGTAGTACAGGCACTTGAGAACACGCATTAAAAAATTTCATACATTCCAGTATTATGCAGCACGTGAGTATACTTGATTTTCAACTTATTTAAGAGACATTCCATGAGATAATTCGGTAATACTTTTACAGAGCCATACGATTTACAAACTGACGTGCTCTTCCTCGCTTTTATTTCTGCACACCAAATCTTAAATAAATTCCATTTTCTTGAAAACGGAGATAGCAAAAGCTCAAATATTTTTGAATTCGATTGATGGTAAAATGATTTTGTAATTTTCAAAAACTACTTGATTTACCGATGGTAGCATTTCAATCCGTTTTTCTGAAGAAAAGATTCTGTAAGAACGCATTGAAAAATTAATAACTATCTTTAACGATGTTTGAAAATTAGTTCAAAACTCATAGAAAACTAATTTTAGTTATACACAAAGGTAAAAATTGACATTACTTTTTGGAGTATCATTTTAACGATGACGACTATAGCATCATCATCTAATTGCATATACAGCGTAGACCAAAAGTAACATAACACACAATTTTTTGATTTTTTTGTTCTTTGAACATAGTTAGATCTTATTTATATCACATATACTATGTAGTTGATAAAATATAAAGATGCAACATATAATCAGTTTCTAGGTGTAGTAATTTTTTCAAAAGCGTACAAATGCAGCGGGACCAAAAGTAAAGAAATAAGTGTGACAAGGAAACATTCACAAATATTGGAGCACTTTAGAATTCGGAACTTAGTACATCCTGTAGACATTGCCCAACTATATGTACTGCAGAAGACATTCGTCCCTATAGCTTATTTCTGAGGAGATCGAATATCTGTAATGAATTTTTGCTTTTATTGCCTGAGACTTGCAGCAAGATCCATTGTCGAATTTTGACTTAGAATGTTGGCCACATAAAGAGATTACCTAGACTAGTTCTCATAAGAAATTTCAGAACTTTTGGACTACGTCTCTCTGAGATATACAGCTTTCAAGGTATCTTGCGTTTTTGATAGACAATATATGCAGCATGTAGTTTTTGAAAATGTCATATCTTCGAGGTAGATAGCCCAAAAGTTCCAAACATTTCTTATGCAAACTAATCTAGATAACCTGTTTATGTGGCCAAAGCTTCAGGTCTGATTCGACAATATGATTTTACTGCAAATGTCAGACCCTGAAGCGGAAAATTCACAAAAAAAACGTTCAGTCTCCAAAATAAGTCAGGGAGACGGACGTTTTCTATAGTAGATGTAATTCACCAGGATCTACAAGACTCACAAAGTCCTAACTTGAAAGTACTTCAACAGTTGAAAATGATTTCTCGTAAGTTCTAATAAATCGTTTATGAAAGCAAAAGAATTAGATTATGACACATAACAATACTTATTTATGAAGTATTTTTAATAACGAAACTTTTTACAAAAATTGTCCAATGTGTTCACTCTCTAAATTTTTGCAAAGCTGTAATTACTTTGGTACTGATTGACCCGATTGCCAACATAATTTCATCGGTAACCTTCGTATAATTTACACACTCTTAAACTAGTTCGAACAGCGAAATACTTATTGTATGCTGCATCTTAGAATTATGTCACATAGTATATGTGGCATAAATATGAGCTGTAATCGACTATGTACCAAGAACAAGTCGCAAAACATTAGAATAGGCGTGTGTGTGCGTGTTTCTATGGGTTTCTGAGGGAGGGCGGGGGCATTTTTCTCTTCAGCAATATACACCCATACCCACACCCTCAAGCTACTTTGTTTATCATAAAATTGTGTGCATTCTTCGATATTTTTGCATGACTGCGACCGATACAAGTAGAATGAATTTGATTTCGTTAGTTCTTTTTCCATGGCGATTTTCTTTCAGTTATTCATGTTCAATTTCATCACTCGAAAATATTTGTTTTTACTTATCCATTTATAGGTTCTTTGAAACGAATACATATCATTCTGTACTTTGTAAGCCAAGCATACATTGTTTGACGCTATTCAATACAGATAAAGTTGCTCTAAACTCCGAAATATCTTCATCACTTTATATGAGTGCAAATAAGAAGTGAGTATGTGCAACCATACGTGTTTCAAGTATAAGGAATACGCTGCTAAATCTTTGTGTGCTTCAGATGCAAAAAATAATATTTGTAACACAATTGTTAGGCCGTATTTTCTTATGTTTTCCGAATGTAGAGTTGTCTCAAAAATCTCAGTCAGAGACCGTGCATCGACTGTAGCATCGGAACCATCAACAGTGTCTATCGAACCAGATGACGATGATGATCAATTTTTCTACTATTTACTGCTTACCGTGCCATTAATTGCACTTGGTGGTTATGTCTATGATGCTGCCACACTTGTCATGTCAAACAATAAAACCGGTGGTCTTCTTTCTTCGGTTTTGTTTATATTTTATTTTTTACAATACTCCGTGACAATTAATTCCAAATGGTTACTAACACTCTATCAGTTTATTATTTGGGCTATGGTAACAACTGGCGACGCTCTGTATATCTTCTATTATCTTCGACAAAATAATCGATTACAACAGTTTAGATATATCGGATATATTTTGTTAGACTTTGTCTTCATTCTGGCATTATGGATGTGTAAAATGATGGCTCTTTGCAACTCATACGAGAAATATTGTTGCTGTTGTAAACGTGCACTTCAGTATTTAAATCCGAATTATAACGTTAGATTACATATCAAAGTGCGCCAGAGGCATTTTTTAGTTTTCTCTCACGTTTGGAAGCAATTTTAGCTACATTAGTGCCGATATTTTTTAGTGATAAAATTGTTCGAACAACGTCAGCTAATATTGGATTTTTTATTCTATTTGAATTTTTCTATGAATCGTATTCTAAACTTCGTTCTGTGTGGATCAAAATCTGTTTATATTTATTTGTTAGTACTGTCACAGCATCAGTAGCAACTGAATGGCTTTATTATGTGAAATTGGACTTGGTGTATTCGCACATTAGTAGTTTTTTTGAACTTGCAGCTACTTGTTTCTGCTGTATGTTTATTGTCATGCACTTTTTTCCGAATCATTGTTATGCAAAACATTCAATGTCAATGAGATCGTTTGAGAATGGGGAAGCATGGCACGCTGTTCCACAGTTTCCGCCGTTTCTTACGCGTTCTCTATCCTTGCCGAACACGCTCGTTTCTCGTTTAAACACCTCTGGGACCTGTTCTCAAGTGGTAGCTACGCCTACCGTATGTGCTCCAGTTGCTTAAAAAACTGCTTCCAAAAATAGTGATAAAACTATAACCAATGATTTGCTTCATGTAAGAAATCAATAGCGAATGGGTGTGGGTGATGAATCAAACCCATTCACACTCCTTATCTATATGGTGCAGATTCCTAATAAAATGCTTCGCTTTGTTATTTTTTCTATACACATCATGGCATTGTCAATAGCACTCAAGCTGAAAGATTCTATAGTCTTGTTCAGGAATATTTTCATTATTTTCTTTAATTCTCTTAGAAGCTTTTTGTAGTTTTAGTCGACTATTTGATAAAAATAAGTCATCAACAAAAGTAATACACATACGCTGATTGACAGTTTTTGCAGGTATCGAACTTCGAACAATTAATAATATTAATATAAAACATTCACTAAATACTTGATTTAATGAAAAATTGACTGCATATATTTTGAGCAAGCTCGTTTCTTTTTATCAATTTCTATTCCAAGAAGTTTCATAGACATAAGTTTTAAATAGTTGAATCGAACAAGTTAATCATTAGCATGAGATTTTTTTATGAGAACTTGATCTTTGTAATTGAAGTATTTGGTGAAAGAAACTATGTTGTTGTATATAAAGCAAGATTCACAAACAAATGACAATGTCGCAGTGAAAAAGATTAAAATCGGTAGTCGATAAGTAGCATATGATGGAATTAATTTAACTGCTTTAAGAGAAATTAAATTTCTTCAAGAAGTCAAACATCCAAATGTTACCGAATTACTCGATTCATTTGGAGAATATGTTTCAAATAGTCCAAGAATTTGTTTAGTATTTGAATTTATGAATACTGATCTTGAAAATATTATTAATAATAGAAATATTCTGTTGACAACAGCACATACGAAATCATACTATTATTATATTATTGCTTGGCATTGAATATCTTCTTAATAATTAGATACTTCATTGAGATTTAAAACCAAACAATTCATTAATTGATAAACATAGTGTTTTAAGAATAGCCAATTTTCGGTTAGCAAACTTTATCGGTTTACCATCAAGAGTTATGCCTCATAAAGTTGTTACAAGATGGTATCGATCACCTGAATTACTTTTGGGTGCAAGAAAATATGGTACTGCTGTCGATATATGGGCAGCTGGTTTAATTATGATCGAATTGCTACTTCGAGTAGTATTATTACTTAGTGGTTCTGATCTTGATCACTTATTGAAAATATTTGAAGTGGTTGGAACAGATTAACTTGATGTATTAGAAAGAATTATGCAACTCGATCCAAAACGACGACTGAATGCAATGGAAACTCTTCAGCTGAAATATTTTAGTTATCCACCTGCTCCGTATCCAAGTGAGCGTTTACCTAAATCGAAAGAAATTCAACCAACTGTAAATAATAAACGTAAATTAGGAAATGATGAAAAAGTGACTGTAAAAAAAGAACGTCCATAGATATTCACTCGTATAGTTTTTTTTCCATTTCAACATGAATATTATTTTATAAATTGAATGTAACTATTATAAAAGAGAATAAATTCTGATGAAGTACAAGTTACAATGACGAAAACGTGCGGATTGATAGCTAAATCGACCTGCTAGAGCAACATATTTTGAGTTAAAAACAATATAAAAAAAGGACGGAAACATGAATGTTGATGCGTATATGTAGAAACAGAAATTAGAAGCTATACTGAAAGCATCCTAAACTTTTTGTTTCACAGTTTGAGCAACGTGTCAACAAAAATTTTATAGAAACGATTGCAACGTTCAGTGCTAGAATTAATATCAAGTACATTTGTTGAATGAAAATTGACAGAGTATGTTTTGCATTGGTATATACAACTCTCTACTGATAGAGAATGTCCCACGAAATAGGTTTGTTATTTTTTTTTTGAATAATTTTTCAGCTCTGTTGCAATCTACACTTGGAGTTTTTTTGAGATAGGTGAAGCTCAAACAAATTTGCAAGACAGAAACATTAAACGTTTCATAAATATTTGACAATAAGTTGCAACAAAAATTAAATACATTCGATGTAAAATCTGTACTGAAACAGTAAACTTTCCAGAGAAAACAACAAAAGCACGTAGTAACAGTAACATTTTAGTTGAATTTGTACTGTGAAGATAGAATGACGTGATTCATTATAGAAAAGCAATATTCTTGTAATACTTTGCTTCTCATGTAAAAAGCAAAATTTATCTAAAAATTTACGCATTTTATCTAGTTTCAGAGACATTCTATCTAGAAGATTCAATTCATTGTTAAGAAAACAAATTCAAATAATGGAATAGGAAAATTGTTCAGATACACACTATATGGAATAAATATGATACATTGTTCTAATTTGGATATTTTTTGATACTAATAGAAATTTAGTAATGGCTCAAGCTAATTTATATATTGGCCTAAGATTTGCATATCCAGAAACATGGTTGGAAAATTTCATTTGATAATACTATTTCTTAATTGAACTACTCACTTTTCCAAATAAAAGGTTGATCAATAACAAAAAAAGGAGAAGATTTAATAAACTAAATAGATATGAGTGTAGATATCATATTACAGAAGTAGATAACTTTTTTGTTTTTTTGGTGACACAATTATTTTTTGGAATTGATGCAAAGATATTTTGATTGCGAAATTTCTTCTTTATTGTTGAGGAAACATATATGAAGGGTGTGGGTGTGGCTATGAATATAGATAATGTGTTCATCCAAAGCCTGACCCCTCACCCACACCCTAGTTTTTAATAGTAAAAACTTTTGTTTTAGTTTATCGTGCCTCATATACGTTAATATTAAGAACGAAGGAAAAACTCTTTGAAAACTGTTTTGCACAAACTCACAACGAGTGATGTTGACCAAACTTATTTCAAATTATTATTTAATAAAAATGAAAGACTTGTTAATTCGTATATGACTAGTACTATCGATAAGGAGACAAAATGAGTTTTAAAAAATGTGGTTTTTATGACTGGCATCGTATGTTTAGAATTCTTATAAGAAAAACGATCTTTTCTGAGATTCTTTTTTAACCAAAGTATGAATTGGAAACTACTAGCTACTCGGAGTTTCTGACTGTTGGTTAAAAGTTACATAGAAAAGTGAAGTCAAAATTTCGAGGTGAAAGTCCTTTAGTTTAGATGGAATTTATCTTTCGATGGTTGGCTAGCTTTTTATGATCATAAAAAATTCATGCAGTATGATCAGCATTCCTCATTATACGATGAGAAAAATGTCAACTCAATATTCAGAGTTGGAATTTTGACAATCAGAATAAATTTGTTAGTTCGAGACTTTCAGACTTGAATCTCTTTATCAGTAACTCTGAATATCTATTAATCAGTTGCAAAAAAGAAAAAAGGAGTCGATGAGAATCAAAATTTGATACTATTTATAATTTTCTGACTTATAGTTAATTGATTGAGAGCCAAGCTTTGCTAAAAGCCAGAAACACTGCTTCTACAGAATTTTTCCTGTAGTCCATTTTTGTATTTTGATGAAAACTACCTCAATTTGAATCATAAGAAAGTTTTCTTCTTCACAATTTTGTAGAATGCATTTTGCCATAGAAAATTTGTTATCTGCTTTCTTTCCTAAATATTATTGCAAACTATCAGAATCTGTTGTATTTTAAATATGAAAATTCGCAACAAAAAAAAACGATTATTTAGAAAAATATTTATAGTTTCTAAGTCTTTTGAGTTGTAGCCTATTACAGTCCATCAGTTTGTAGAGCATTAAATTCTTTACAATGTAGGAGATAAAATCTATCCCAAAATACTCTGTAGAGAAATTAGGAATAACCAAAAAACAAAACACTTATCGAGTCGTAAGTCAGAGCAAAAATTCTAAAGATATATTTAGAAAGAGTATCAAATTCTGGTTCTCACCGATTATTTTTTTGCAATCGATAAGTGGACGAAAATCGAATAGAGATGTTATGTAAAGACTTCTTATATGCAGGTTACAATATTAGAACCTTTGAAATTGATTTACTAATTAAATCTCATAATTTATATAAAAATATTTCTCTTTCAAATATTTTTATTATTAACTTGTGAACATATTAATAATTTTACTTGAATTAAGTTATTTAAGATTTGTATTACATTTGATACATTAATACTTACCTATTACATAAGAAAATAAAATAAACTTTTTGCTTTTAAAATAAATTTTTCTTTAGTAAAATAGGTATCTAATTGACCTATAGAATAATTAAAGACAAAATTTAACTTTCGATTGTTCTAATCTTAAGAATAAAATTGAGTCAAACTATCGAATATAAGATTAAACGAAAAAAAAAATTAGTAAACAAGAGAATGTACGTATTTCATTAGGAGGATTGATATTTGAAGAAATTGATAATGTACATGAATTATTTGTCAATATTATTATAGAGAGACTATCTAATAAACAAAAATTAATCCCTTAAAAAGGATAGTAGTATCTTTAAGTATTTGTTTAAGTTTTAATGTATATTGTGAATCACATATTTGCTAGGAAGAATATTGCTAAATAAAAAAAAAAAAAAAGAAAAACAAAAAGTGATATTTTATTTTACTTTTAATGCTAAAATTCTTGACTATTCATAATCATAGAAAATACTTATTTGATTAATTAATCATTTTGTTAACATTTTTTTATAGATTTTTTTCATAAGCATATTTATATTTGATATAATTAAAAATCATCTATAGACAATAAATCGAATAGATTTACTAGAATTTTTTCAAGTTTCGTTTTCATTTATCAATAAAAACAGAAGAATGCAGTAAGAGACAAAATAGTTTCATTTTTATTTGAATTTTATAAGAAATAGTAATAGTAGAATTTTCGACCTTGACTGTTTGTAACAAGCTGTTGAAAGCGGTCATCATCGGTATATAATCAAAATACATCAAGTAATCTAATTATAATATAATCCATAAACAAATCCATAATATAAATAATACTAATAATTGAGTAACAACATAAACAATACCATAGAACAGAAATCTAATGGAAATTCTACTATTACTATTTCTTATAAAATTCAAATCAAAATGAAACTATTTTGTCTCTTACTGCATTCTTCTGCTTTTATTGAAAACTTAGATTAGATATAGATCAAAGTAACATGTAGAGCCATTTCAATACGAATGTACTAATATTGGAAACACTCACGAATAGTTTGTGGAATGCTTAGTTTGAGAAAATTAAAGCTTTTGAATGAAAAAAAAACGAAGAAAAATAACGAGCACATGCTAGTGTTTTGTGCTTGCATGAATCATCCGAACGAGAAATAAAACATTATTACCCTTCATACTAAAAATGTATGTAAATAATTTGATCTAGCTCATAATTACTTATCTTATTCTTTGAAATATTCTAAGCATGCTGACCGACAACATTTCTATTGCAGGTTAACAGGTTACGATCTCAGCAATCTGTACCCTACCCTATTAAAAAAAAATCTTGTAATCTGACCCTGCTTTGATAAGGCAGGTTACCCATACCCCGTAGGGGTCTATCTATACCTTATATTTCAATATCAACAAATCAATATTCAAATATTAAATCTTTAGAAAATAAACATACTAGACAATCTTAGAGAATTGTACAATTACTTTTAGAAAATAAATCTCTTAAAACAAACGTTAATAGACTTGAAGAAGATATACAATGTTCATGTGTTAATATATAATTATTAAAAGGTGAATTATGTAATTTAAGAAGAGAATCTCTATTATCAAAAACATATATTATATTCATAGTGATAGTGAATATTTATAACATATTGATAATATTAAAGAATTATTTTATAATACAAAAAAAATGCTTCTAAATCAATATATATTAATTTTCTATCATTTTATATATCAAAATATGATTAGAAAATTTTATTAATAATTATATTAAAATTAATTTAAATGATTATTTAGTTATTCTGTTATATTATGTTTATATGTTAAATATTCAAAACATGATCATGTTATTGATATATTAAAAATCAAATATAAATAGTGTATATTTTTAACAAAGATGAATTGATATTTAAACAAGCATAGAAATACCAGAATTTTCTTCTTTATAGATAGAGTATTTAATAACGATGACTTTAATGTTTATCAAAATACAATGTTTGTTAAATCATTTGTTGATTTCAATATTTATTCAAAGAAAATATCGTCATAATGAATACAATTATAATCAAGTCCTTGATTAATTAATGTGTAACACATAAATTTAAAAGAACTATTAGATATTAACGAAAAACAAAAAAATAATTTTTTCTTTATAATTAATTGATTATTTTGCTTTTTTAATAAATTAAAATTTCTATAATCAAAACACAGAAATCATTGTCTCGATATATCGAAACATAAAGTAGTTTCATTTAGTAGAGATTGATTTTTGAATTATTATTAACGATTTAATCGACATTAATAATTGCTAATATCAATT